AATATAGAATGCTTGAAGCAATACAAAGGACTGAAGAAAGGAATGAGTATGCCCAATAGGCTACATAAAGAAAATAAAGAAAGGTGTAACAATGGAAACACAAAATAGGGCCACAAACACCAAAGAAATTAAAATGGCAGTATACAATGCACACCTTTCGATAAGAGCACTAAATATCAATGGCCTCAACTCCCCTGTCAAAAGACACAGGCTGGTGCAATGGATCAAGAAGGAAAACCGATCTTTTTTTTGTCTTCAAGAAACTATCACACCTTCAAGGGTAGCCACTATCTTAGGGTGAAAGGAGGGAAAAAAATCCCAAGAAAATGGCCCTAAGAAGAAAGCAGGTGTCACAATTTTTATATCTGACAAAATAGACTTCAAATTAAAACTCGTCAGAAGAGATAATGAAATTTACTTCATTCTAATCAAAGGAAAAATTGACCAAGATGAAATTACAATCATGAATATTTATGCATCAAACTCTGAAGCACCCAATTTCATAAAATCAGTAGTGTAAGACTATAAAACAGAGATTAACACCAACTCAGTGTTAGTGAGCAACTTTAATACCACACTTTCTTAAATAGACAGATCAACTGGACAAAGAATAAACAGAGAGACATCTGAATTAAATGACATACTATATGAAATGGACCTAACATATATATACAGAATATTCCACCCAACCACCAAAGCATACACTTTCTACTCAGCAACTCATGCAAATTGTTCTAAAATTGACCATATTCTGGGGTACAAAACAAATCTCAACAAATACAAAAAAAAAACTGAAATAGTTCCATGTCTTCTATCAGATGACAGTGCAATAAAGCTTATAATCAATAGCAAAAGAAGCTCTAGTAAATAAACAAACTCATGGAGATTAACCAACACAATCCTGAAACATGAATGGGTGAAAGAAGAAATTAAGAAAGAAATAAAAGTATTCCTGGACAAAAATGAAAATGGGACCACAACACAACAAAACCTCTGGACAACAAACCAACCCCAAACTTAATAGATGAGACGAAATAACAAAACATGGAGTAGAAATTAATGAAATAGAAGCAATGAAAATAAGACAAAAAAAAATCAACGAATCTAAGAGCTGGTTCTTTGAAAGGTTACACAAGATAGACAGATCCTTAGCCCAGTTAAACAAAAGAAACAGCAAATCCAAATGTACAAAATCAGAGATGAAAGGGGAAACATTACAACATACATAAAAAATCCAAAACATTGTCAGGGAATACTTTAAAAATCTATACTTTATTAAATTTGAGAACAAAAAAGAAATGGATGAATTTCTAAAATCATGGCCACCACCAAAGTTAAACCAAGAGGAGATCAACAGCCTAAATAGGCCCATAACAAATAAGGAAATTGAAAGAGTAATATGAAACACCCAACTAAAAAAATCCCAGGCCCAAATGGATTCACTGCAGAATTCTACTAGACATTAAAGAAGATATACAACCAATAATGCTTAAGTTATTCAAACAGAAACAGAGGGAGAACTCTTAAACTCCTTCTATGAAGCCAGTATCACTCTAATACTAAAACCAGGTAAAGATACAACAAAAAATAAACCTATAGACTAATATTCTTAATGAACATAGATGCAAATATACTCAACAAAATACTTGCAAGCCACAAGCAGACACACATTAAAAAGATCATCCACCATGATCAAGTCAACTTTATCCCAAAGATGCAGGGATGGTTCAACATTCATAAGTCAATAAATGTAATAAAACAAGTAAATGGACTTAAATACAAAAAACACATAGTCATCTCAATAGATTCAGAAAAGGCATTTGACAAAATCCAGCATGCATTCATGTTAAAAGTTATTGAAGGAGTTTGTCTGGAGGGTACATACCTCAATATAATTAAAGCTGTTTGCAAGAAATCCATAGACAACATCATACTAAATGGAGAAAAACTGGAAGCACTCCCATTAAAATCAGGAACCAGACAGGGCTTCCAACTGTCTCCACTCATTTTCAATATAGTGCTTGAAACCCTTACTAGAGCAATAAGAAAATAGAAGGAAATTAAAGGAGTACCAGTTGGAAAACCAAAGGTCAAATTATTCCTATTTGAAGATGATATAATATTATGCATATGAGATCCCCAAAATTCCACTAGAAAACTGTTAGAATTAAATAATGCTTTCAGTCAAGTGGCAGGACAAAAAACCAGCTTACAAAATCAGTAGCCTTTCTATATGCCAATAACAAGCAATCAGAAAAAGCACTTGAGGAAACCCTCCCATTCACAATAGCCTTAAAAAATATTTAGGAGTAAACATAACCAAAGATATTAAGTATATCTACAATAAAAATTTCAAAACTCTAAAGAAAGAGCTAGAGGAAGACACTAGGAGATGGAAAGACCTAACATGCTCATGGATTGGTATAATCAATATTGTGAAAATGACCCTCTTCCCAAGAGCAATTTATAGATTCAATGCAATCTCAATCAAAATTCTCATGACATTCTTCACAGGGCTTGACAAAATAATCCTAAAATTCATATGAAATCACAAAAGATCCCTGATAGCCAAAACAATCTTGGGCAAAAAGAACAATGCTAAGAGGATCACCATACCAGATCTCAGACTATATTACAGAGATATAGTCATAAAAAGAGCATGGCAACTGGCACAAAAATAGACACATAGATCAATGGAACATAATAGAAGCCCCAAACATAAGTTCATATAATTTCAGCCACCTGATATTCAAAAAAGGTGCTAAGAACACACAGTGGAGGAAAAATAGCACCTTCAACAAATGATGTTGACAAAACTGGATCTCCACCTGCAGAAACATGAAAGTTGACCTTTATCTTTCACCCTGTAGGAAAGTCAACTCCAAATGGATCAAAAACCTCAACACAAAACCTGAAACTGGAGAGTATAGGATGGGAGTCCTATATGGAACCTCACCCATGGCTCCAGGACAATTGCAGAAGTGGAAGCATAAGATTGTAGGAGCCAGGGCTGGTTCATGAACAGAAGGAGGTCGAGGCTTCCAGGCCACTGGAGGCTTACTCATGTGAGCCTGTGGCAGTGCTGGCATGAAACGGGGGACCCAGGTCAGCTCAATTAAACAAGAGCCCAAAGAGGAGGTGAGAAATAGGTGGCAGGCCAGCACTAAATTGAGAACTATTTATGACTGATTAGTGCTGGGTGAGGGAGAGTATGAGTAACATACGAACATTGGGTGGGCTGACCAGACTCCAGTGCTGGCATTTACACTGAAGGACATTTGGGTACAAACACCTGAATGAATAGAGCTCAGCATGTACATCAGAGTGCATAGGGTTCAGTGGGGAGATAGGGGGAGGCAAGGATGAGGGAGGGGTCTGGATTTGAGTGAAAAACGGTGTATGAAATTTTAAAAGCTCAATAAAAAAGTTTAGATCAATGATACAAAATTGAAGACTCAAATATGAGCACATACAATTTCAGCCACCTGATATTTGATAAAGGGGCCAAGAACATTCACTGTTTGAAAGACAGCATCTTCATCAAATGATGCTGGTAAAACTGGACCTCTGCCTGTAGAAGAATGAAACTAGACCACTATCTTTTGCCTTGCACAGAAGTCAAATCCAAATGGATCAAAGACCTCAATGTGAAACTCTGAAAGTGTTAGAAGAAAACTTTGGCAATAGCCTACAAGGCATAGTAGTAGGAAAGGACTTTCTAAACAGGACATCAATTGCTCAGATAATAAGATCAAGAATCAACAAATGGGACCTCATTAAACCAAAAATCTTCTGTACATCAAAAGAAGCAATAAAGGAAGTGAAAACACAGAGTGGGAGAAAATCCAGTTGGGTGGGCTATGGGAGGGTGCCAGTGGGGACAGGGGTATAAAGATGATTAAGATTGTTTGAGATATTCTGTATGAAATACACAAAAATTATATATATATAATATATATGGCACTGAAAAAACTAAATTAAAAAAAAACATGGCTTTTAGGAGCAGCATTATCCAGCCCTACAAATATCTCCCTTATCTTTGTCTGTCTTTGTTCCTGACTTTCTGTCTCTCTGTCTAATAAAGTTGTAGGCTTCTGTAAGGCATTTCCACACACCGTTTGTTTAGTTCAACCCTTCTTGCTACTTCCCTCAAATCCACTAACTCCTCTACTCTGTGGAACCTGGGGTTTGAACTCAGGTCATTAAGAATGACAGCAAGTGCCTTTATCAATTAATATTGTTTATAAAGAGTTTGCAATTAATCTTTATGTTTTTCACTGAACATATTATAAAATGCAATGAATTAATAAGTATTATGGCAAAATTTAAGGATAACTAGTATTTTCAGTCCCTGATAAATTGCTGTTGTTGGATACTGGAAATGAAAATTTTGTTTTATGGTCATCAGAAGCAAGGGTCCAGAAAAAGTCGAAGACATAAAGAATTAGGGGACATAAAGTAAAAATATGAAGCACTTAGAGCAAAGAAATCATATTTGTAATGTCTTCTTGAAATATAAGAAGAATGCTGTTGGGTAGGCATCCTCTGAAAAGCCAGGACTGAACAGGGCAGGTCTAGAGACTGTTGCTGAAAGAGCTGAGTGCGCTGGAAAAAAGGGGAGGAGCTATCGCCATTTCGGAAATGGAGGGACCATGGGGAAACAGCTCAGGAAAAGCTGGTGGCGACCTCTGGCAGGACACACCATGAGTTTCAAATATGGGAAAGAAAAAGCCTATGTAAATCACCCCCTCCCAGATGACATAAACTATGTAAAACCCAATTAGAACATATTCTGTCGGTTTTGTCACCCCTGGCACCTCAGAGGGCATGTGCTCACGGGTCTCCCAAGGAAGGAGGGGGGAGAAAATTTAGTGCAACAAATGCTATCAAAATGAGCACATGACAATACAGATGTATGTTTACATAAGCATATTTATGTTTTTCCACAAAGAACTTAACAGCTGGATTTCATTTATGCATAACCTATTGTGTAAGAGATTTTTTGATTCATCAGAAGTTGAGTATCCATGTAGTGCCTCTATTTTGGAAGGTAAACTGCTCTTGGAACGCCTGATGTGGGAAATTCCTGCAATGAAGTTTAAAAAATAAATCAGTGTAATTGCATGACATTTAATAACATTACTAATCTTCCTTAGATATGCTATGTATCAGTATCAGAAAATTAATCACATATTATGAATAATTTTATAATCTGTCCAATCCCTAGTACAGTTTAAAATGATTTAAAACTACAATAAAGTATTTTTTAATAAATGAATTCTTAACTGCTCTTAGGTAACCATTATATATGTTACATTTAGTACAGTTCCTCTGAACTGGCTTACATACTGTGTGAGCCAGAGCTTCTGTACTCCAATCAGAAACAAGCGCTATTGGAAGAAAATGTAAGAAAAGCAAATATTTCTGTGAAATTATTGTACCAAGGTATTCTGCTCCTGTATAATGATGAATTTTAGTACAATATTATAAGAAAATTAAAATTTTAAATGCAATACCATATTTTTCTTTTTGTATAATTATATGTGCAAATTTAAAATGACACCAGTTATTGTTTTCTTTGAAAATGTCATGATAAAACCTATAGTTTGCATGCTAACTAAAATTTTTAAAAAATATATCATGTCACGAAGTAGTAGTTGTCTTATTTAAATTATGAGAATTTACTGGCATAAGAACATAGACCAAAATCATCTCTGAGTTTGTCTCCTAGCATTTAATCAGTTCTCAATGACTTCAAATCTACTTTTGAATGATTGAAAATTTAAACACTGTATATAACAAAGTGTAATATAAACATTATTATGCAATATATGTTACCTATACATGTATTTATAAGTATGTTACACATTATTATATCTTTGACTCATTTCCTAAACTCATTATATAAACTGAAATAGTAGTGACAGTGATTCATATAAAGTAAACTTTCTAAACCTTGATCTGGACTGAGTCTCTCATATCATTTTGGCATAATGAATGCCAGTATTCATGATGTTATCTGTCCTGGAATTATGGTAATGTTAACACTAAGCAGAAATTGATATGCTTTCTGCATACATAAAATGGTTTCATGTGAGTGTTCGATGAATACTTGTTTCCATAATTTATTTCAGGTTTAGTTGGTCCTGGAAAGCGATCCCAGTTATTAGATGGATAGTTGTAAATAGCACCTTCCCTGGGCGCAGGAACAGCAAAACTATTTAAAAAAAAAAACAAATATTTTAGAATACTTTAAAATGTAAAACATGCATACACAGTTAAAATGTCATAATGCAATACAGTGTTATGATATTCTGTATGAAAGAAATAAATGAAATCATTCAGAATCATATTGAAACAAGAAGCATAATTAAATAATGGTGTCTTCATAAAACAGAAAGAGATAAACAATTTTTCTTTTAATTTTTTTCATTGCAAAACCTAGGGCTTTGATTGGGAATATTCTGATATTTAGATAAATGAAGGAAGCACAACTTTACAAATTTTGCAGATTAATTTTAGTCAGCACTGAGGTTTTCCCCTCAGGAAAAGTGCTAAGAAGCGGTCTTTTTCTCTGACAAAAACACCATTATGTAGACATTCACAGTTAGAAAAAGCGTTATCTCTAACTATGCCCCTTTTTCTCTGAATTTTGCACCCTAACAAAAAATGAATATATAAATTAAAACTATATGAAACAATTCTTTCCAAATGAGATACTCTTGTCTCTATTTTTCAGCATTTACTCATTTTCATCCCTGTTTTATACAACAAATCACTTACTTGGAATTTACTCTAGATAACGGTGGGAATGGAGAGAATGTACTTCCAGAAAAGGCTCCCTGATGGGCTGAGCTCCTGGGATTCTGCACATAGATGTTTTTAATGAGAGAGAAAAACAGTTACTCATGATTTTAAGGAAATTTGAAATACAATATATAATAGCTTACATTGCATCTACATGCTAGCACCCAAGTACCAAGGTAGCTAAAAGCTTCTTCTCACAAAATGACAAAATGACAAAAAAATTAAAGCGCTTAAAGATATTAAGGACTTCAGAAGTATCTATCCATCTGTCTGTCTATCAGCTAGCTATCATGTATCTGTCACCCATATAGGAAGAGAGAACAGCGTACTGAAGGAGATGTGCAAATGGAAAGTATATTTCAGCCACAATCTAAACATTATGTGACATTTCAAACTAAAAACATTAAACTTAAACTCATCTTTCACCTGTCTGCAATTGTGTGAAAAAAATCCACAGATAAGCACAGTTGACAAAATAACACAAGCAAGGAAAGTGAAGGTTGAATACAGAGCTGCAGTATCAGTCACTGAATACTACAGGGAGTTTTTAAGATAAAACAATCCATACAGCTCACTTGATAGACCTAGTCCTTGAAGACCATACATCAAACAACTACATGTACCAAAGATGAATTGTAACAGTATGGTTTAGGTGCAAGCAATTCATGTTTTAACACAGGCATGAGGCATATACAGTGGCTATGTGTCTACACAGAGCCTTCTCTTTTAGCCAAACTAGTTATGGGTATGTGAACGATATTGTGCTTTGATTATTTTAAGAGCTAGTTAAAAATAAAGGATAATTTTACACAGTCACTTTGATACAATTAATTTGACATTGGGAAATTTCAGACAGCCTCTAAAACTATTCACTATATATTGTCATAAAAGACTAAACAACATGAAATGTACACCACGACCCATCTGTTAAGTTTCAGTTCTTAGGTACAGACATCCTAGAGGGGCAAAGAAGCTTAGATTAGTAATAATATAAGAGATGAGAAAGAGATTAGATTTCATCTGTAATGGCCTACTGATTTAAAAAAAAAGGAAGAATGAGACTAACTCTATGTTTCTTCTTCATTGTCTACAAATTTCTCTTCTGTCTCTAAACCTTCCTCTTCTGCTTTGATTTAGCAATCCTCTTTAGAATAAAATACAAAACAACCAAGAAACATAAAAAAAAATCATCACTCCTGAGACTACTTCAATGAAGCCTGGACAGAAAGACTGGTTGGTATTAACAGACTTTCTCTCTCTGGTGTCCTCTCTGATATCACAGTAGACAGAATTTTGCCTTTCAATCTATTCAAAGCCTCAAGTCTTAAAGGGGCCATCTTTCATTTCATGGTGGACTCAATTTATTTGGTCCACACCTTTTTCTTTAGCATACAAAAGGGAACAGTGTATTTGTTGTGATAAAATTTTGGACCCAAGCTGGGTGACACCTTTAATCCCAGCACTTGGGAGGCAGAGGCAGGTAGATCTCTGTGAGTTCAAGACCAGCCTGGTCTACATAGCAAGTTCCAGGCCAGGTGGTAAGTTATGTGACTGTTTTGGAAATGAAGATTCCATAAGAAACTGCCAGAGTACCTAAAGATCTAGAAGGATTGTTGTATAACTCCACTTGTTCATTTTTTGAACTAATTTAACCCTTTAGTCTGGAGGTAGTTGTTGATCCAACTGATTGTAGAAAAGTGCTTGAGGCTGAATTTAATAGTAAAAAAAATATAGAGAATATGGGGTTGGAAAGATGGCGCAGCAGTTAAGAATACTGGCTGCTCTTCCAGAGGACCTGGGTTCAATTTCCAGCACCCACATTGTGTCCAACAACCATCTGTAATGCCCCAGTTCCAGGGCATTTGACACCCTCTTCTGGCCTCCACGGGCTTTGCATGACACGGGTGCACTTATATATATGCATGCGAAACATTCATAAACATATCATTTTTATGTGTATAATAATAAGAAAGGTAGAGAGAAATCGAAAGAGTAAAACATTTTATAGTCTGGTCCTTGTGATTGTAGAGATGGTGGTGTTAATAAGACTATTATAAGTAGATGGGAGTCAATAAAAATCAATAGGAGCTAGCAATAAAGAGAAAAATTGAATCTCATGATAGCATTGTGAAGAACAATAAGAAAAACTGTGTGTATGAAGGCATGGAGGCACATCTAATCTAATAATCTAATTAGAATAGCCTGACTAGAAACGTATCTTTAGGAAGTGACAGGCAAAGCAGTTGCCCTGTTCATTCATTCTCTTGAACACAACTACTGCTTTCCAAATTCTTATAAAGGCCATATCTATGACAGTAATACTTGGAACCAGAAGTAGACTGCATACATGGATGGCTAGATCTGGGTTTCTCAGATAAAGCTAATCTTTTAAATTTTATCTTTGGAAGCCCCAAATCACTGTCCAACCTATCCTACAATTTGCTTTTTCTTTCCCTCATTCTCAGAGATAACTATTTTGCCACTCCTCTCCAGATTTTTTTAAAATTTTTAATTCAATTTTTGAGATTTCTATACAGTATAATTTGATGACATTTATGTCTCCCTTGCCATCCGGACCTCCCCACACTACCCCCCCACACACTCAATTCAATGTATTCTTTGTATAATAAATCCTATAGAGTCTTTCTTGAATCCCCAAATGTTCTCCAGTGTGGGTCCATCCACTGGAGCTTGCATAGGACTTGTGCGTGCTGTCACCATTGTTGTGAGTTCATATGATTAACTGACCAGCTGTCTGGAGAACTCTCCCGCACCCCCCTGTCCATGGTCATCCACTACCACTGGCTTTTACAGTCTTTCCACGTCTTCCTCTTCCATGATCCCTGAACCCTGAGCTCCAGAAGCCTGACAGACGCGTTCCATTCAGAGATAAGCACTCTGCAGCCTGTTCCTCCCTGCACATTAGAAAGCCATAAGTTTCCGTGTCAATCACTATCTGCTGCATAAGGAAACTTCTCCCATAAGAGTTGAAAGGTGCATTAATGTTATACAGGGGGTGAGCACCTGATTCAGCAGTCCATTTGGATCATCCCTTTTGAGACTGGGAGTCAATATTATTATGAGGGTACCACAGTTACATCTCACAGGAGGGGACCGCAGCTCTAGTTCACAGGGGGAGAACTACAGCTCCAGCTCACAGGAAGAACCACAGCTCCAGTTCTAAGGAGAGGACACTCCAGCTCATGGGGAGGGACCATGACTCCAGCTCACAGGAGGTGACCACAGCTCTAGTTCTTTGCATTTTCTTAAGTTCTCAAGCTCTCAGAGTT